CAACGCCTGCAACAAATTGCGCACCAAATGCGTGATGAGTCCGGCACATTTGGTACTGTCACAAAGCAGCGTCGCTGCTTGCATTTCCGGCTGGCGCGGAACAATTTCCGAGCATCGCGCGGTGCACGCCTGCATCGCTGGGAAGACCTTGTTTGCGTAACAGAACTTGCTCTGCAGCAAGCGCATGTGAACGTTGGCCCAGTTGTCTATGAGCAGCGTCGTGGAGTTCCAATTCAAGGTTTCAGGTCGAAGCAGTCAATTTTCCTAGGTTACCCAGAAGCACAGTGGCTGACAAGTGGCAACGCAGCTTGTTGCCCGCTGTGTCTGAGTTTTGAACAGACAATTGCTGCGGTTCGGTATGTTGATGACTTGGCCATGGCATCATCTGTTTCGTGTTCTGCCTGCGTCCGCAGCATGGTGACTCAAATAGCAACTCATTCAGTTTGATGCTGCCAAGCCAACACACTTCGGCGCACCAGTGCGTGCAGGTCACAGGCGCTCCAAGGCAAGGTCACCCACCCCACTCATGCCATTGCAAGGCGACGCCGTGTTAAATATGACATTACTCAAAGGCATGCTGAATGGAAGGCTCTGCAGTCGCTTGACTTGAGGCCGGACATGAAGCGCGCAGTGGATTGTGGGCTGCAGCTGCGGGCCCTATGGATATCCTTTGCGTGTAAGACTGCAAGTATGGCAGAGAGGCAAACACCTTCCCAATGCGGCCAGACATGTCCGTGGAGTTGCAACAAGCAATCCGCACCTGTGGTGGCCATGCGTGCGTCAGTCATTGTTCACAAGCCGCGGATGTGTGAGGCTATGGAGCTTTGGGCTTGGTGCTGCCTTGACTTTGGCGACCTTGCAACTTCAGGGTTCTTCTTCTTGCAAGAGGCTCAGATTGGGTAGGTCCCTCGCCCGCAGCGCAAACAGCGCAGACGGCATGGGGAAAGGTGGCCGTGGGAAAGGGTGGTCGCGCTCAGACGCCAACGTGGTTGTCTGGCGGCCACAAAAGCACCGGCTACACCAGCGACCCCCCTGCCAACAGCATAGCGTGCCTAGTTCCAGCCGAAAGAGCAGCAGCTTCTCATGCAGCAGCAGCTCATGGCCTTGCAGGAAAACAGCAGTGGACAGCAGAGCTCAACCTGAGCTTGACGGCCCGGCTGAAAAGGCGTCCAGGTGGCCGAAAGGAAAAGGCAAACACGAAGGGAGAAGGACTGCAGCAAACTGATTAGGAACTGTGCCCAGCGCGTGCGAGGCAGCTCTACGCACGCTGCGGCTAGCAGTTCTCCTGAGCTTGTGGTGGGGTTTGCTTCTGGTGAACTTGCATTTAGCGCAGGCCAGCCTGCAGACATGGAGTGCAGTGCCGGGGGGTCAAGCTTGCCACCAAAGCTTTGACTGACGCTGCTGACAAACTTGCACAGTCTCAGAGTAAGGCGCCCCATTTGAGCCCTGCCCTTTTTGCATCCATCGATGGGTTTGTTCATCTCGCCAAAAATATGGCGAATTTGATGCCTGAATCCAGGCATTTGCCTTCATTGCAAGACTTGACTCCATTGATTGTGATGGTTCTCTGTGTTGTTTTCGGCGGATCTTGTTTTAGTTTAGTTTGGTACCGCAGCCAGTGAGGTTCAGAAAGGAGTGCGCGCGCTTCCCCGTGCGGTGCGACTAGTGCTTGGCGCACGTCGCTTGAACCAGGCACGAGCGGCGGCAGTCCTGGGGGGAAAAGAAGCTGAGTTGCATGGCCAGCAATCCCAGAGATTGACTTGAAATTTTGATGGGCGGGCCGCTGCGCGGTGGAATTTCCCTTGGCGGGTCGGGCCACGACGCTTGGACAAAGCGGAGCTCTAAAAGCATGGCAGTTGTCGCAAAAAGTTGTGCGTGCGACAGCTTCGCGTGAAACAGACCTTTCTTCAAAACTGCGATCTTTGATTTGAGTGTGTTGACGGCTGGATTTCATGGCTGATGCAGCATCCTGTGAGATTGGCGTAAGTTTTGCGTGGTGGGCGCAGTATGTTTTGCACTGCTGGTATGGTTGCGTGGCAAGCGCAGCGTTTTCAGAAGCAGTGTCTGTGAATTTATGGCAGACCCATTTGCAAGCGTTGCAAGACAAAAGTGAAGCCTCTGCGGAGATCGTGCGTGTCGAAGCGCCCTCGCTGTGGAGCCACGCGAATGTGTCTTGATCTTGGTGAACCCTGTGTGGAGACTGTGCCTGGCAAGTCTTAAGTGCGCTAGTTCGCTCCGGGTGCAAAGTCGCAACTTTTCAGTGGCGAAGCTGCGCGCGAAGAGCGCTGCCATGGCTCTAACTTGAGAATCGCAATGTTCAAGACACGAGGTGCATTCCCGCAGCTCCGGCTGCAAAATCGTCAGCGTTTACGTGCAGAGGTGACGCGCGAAGCGCGCTCTCGCAGCTCCAGCTTGAGAAATCACAACTGTGAAGCACGCAAGTAATGTGAAAGTGCATTCTCGCATCTCCAGTCCCAAAATTGCAACTTTAGACTGGGAAAAAGCACGCGAACTAGACTTCTGTATATCAACTTGCCAGGGCATCCTCCTTGAACAGTGGAACCAGTCAGCAGTACATACTTTAGTATTGCCAATTCTACTTTAGCATTGCCAAGGCCCCCCAGTACTTGCTTTAGTATTGCCAATTCCACCTTAGTGTTGCAAAGGGCCGTTTTTTCAGCAACCCCAGTTGGAAATTACTGCGGACACCAAAACAAGGATCAGGGGCTCTTGTGGGCGCCCCCCTTTGCGTGATTGATCGCCCTCACTTTTGTGTAAAGAAGTTATCCTAAATTTGATGGTTTGGGAACAACTTGCAAAATGGATTTCCTAGATCTCAGGCCTTTAACCTCTGAGCTGGGGAGAGCTTACGATGAGCCCCCTCCTTTGAAAGTAAAAGGCATGAGGCTTTGGTTTTCAACTTTCAGCACCGCGAAACCAGCTGGACACTAAAGAGGACCCCAACACAGTTTCATAAAAGGGCCTCTTCTGGGCACCCCCCTTGGTGTGACTGTTTGCCCGCACTTTTTTTGTAAAGAAGTTATCTTAAATTGGGTGGTTTGGGGAGCAGTTCAAGAAAAGGATTTCGCAATGTTTGCCAGGATTTGTTTGCCTTGTTTTGCCCGACTTGTTTGCCAAGTTTTTTTTACCCATGTTTTTTTCCAGCCAACTTTCCATACTAAAGGACTGCTAAAACAGCCACAGGATCCTGAATTAGAAACAACTTTCTACGATAGAGGGGACTATTAATGAAGGACGTCTAACATTATGATACGGGCACGAGAGGTTGACAAGAGAAGGCGACGTGAAAGGTTGGGAAAGAGAGGTTGCAGTGCATCACGCGCAAGAGGGACCATCATGCACAGCTTCGCGCGCAGCATCGTGCGCGGCGTCGTGCGCAACGTCACGCGCAGCGCCATGTGCAACATCACGCGCGCAGCGTCATGCGCAACACCACGCGCAGCATCATTCACAGCTCGTGCGCAAGAGTGGTTGACAGGAGAGATGGTGAAACATGATGCTCATCGCTCGTCAGAACTTGCAGAAGCTTTGCCTGGGAGCCGGAGTTTATTAAACGTGTTTCAATGCTTCCGGGCCTCATCAAGGTAAGCCACGCTCAAAACTATTCGGGGCCTTTTGTCGGGGTTTTTTTCTGCCAGAGCGTTATCAAGTTCTGTGGCCAGTTCTCTCAGACTGTAGAGACTTTTTTCTGCCAGCCATGGAGCACCTCGCCGTGTACTGTGGCCAGCTTCGCAAACTATAGAGGGGGACAGTTCAACAGACCTGCTCGGTGACCGGTTTTATCGTTTTAGTTCAGTGCGCCAGAAATTTACAGCCCGCCTTTCCCCACTAATGTTTTCTGCAAGAACCTCACCAAGCTCTGTAACCCTTTTCTCAAACTATACCAGACCCAACATCAAGGACGCCGCCCTAAATTTTCTCAGCCACCCATGGCGGACCTCATCAAGCTCGATGACAGACAGCACGCTCAAGTTTCTGGAAGCATCCCGTCATTCCCACAAGGCCATGCAGTTTCCGCGTATGTGCAGGAAGTCCTCTTGCAACAGCCTTCTCAGATGGGTGCCTAGCACCGCGGGCTTTGCCAAACCCTCAGAAGTCAATAAGCAACATTGGAAGTTCCTAAAACTCACACGATCCCTTTCGGATTTGGTTTTCACTCCTCAATTTTTCCTTATGGTCATGGTTTACCACATCTCAGATTGCAATCACCCATTCTGGCAACCCCGTACGACCTACTCCAAACGGCCACTCCTTGACGTGAACGTCTGCGTTTGGCGCATCAAGAAGCTGACCCCGCGCAATGTTGCGTGCTGCTGTCTTGTTGCCGGCCTTGTGCGGCGGCGCTGCGCGCGCCAGAAAAATGCCGCGCCCGCTGCGTGTTACGCTTTCGGGTGCCCGATCTTCCAGAGATGCGAAACCGGCACTTTGAATTTTGTCGGAAACGCTATGCAAACTGAACTGCGCTTTCGGAGTTCGTGGAGCGGCGGCAGTTTACATGCAACCCTTATTCGTCAAGGCCGCAGAACCTTTTGGTCAGCCGCTTTGTAAGGTTTCTTTGGTAAATCTTGGCGTGGGGTAAGTGGGGTACTTAGGAAGCGTACTTGGGAAATAACCTTTGAGAGTTTTTGACACACGCTTGCCAAAGAAATAGGCGCAGTGATGCACACAAACACACGCACCCAGGACCGCGCAAATGTCTGCGTGGCCAATCCTTTGAGAATGAAACTTTGGGCAGCTCAAGGGATTATGAGGAGAGGCTGGAAAATCCCAGGCGGCGCTTCGCGTGAACATGGCGATCTGCAGCGCCTCATCTAAGTCCCACTTTTTTCGGGTTGTGTGTCCCACCTCACTTCGGTTGCGCGCCTGTTTTGCAATGGGGTTGGCTGTGAGCGCAGGCCAGACTCAAGTCGCTATGTTTGTAGATGCCTAAGAGTCGCCGCACCTTCGCCACTTCGCTGCTTAGCCTGCGCATTTTTGAGGATGGGCGAGCGGTGCAGGTGCAGCCGTGGGATCCAACCAGGCGTCGGCCCTTAAAGTGCTACCCATTTTGTGTGAATTATTTTGTGTGATTGCCCGCTGAAGGACATGGGCCGCTCCGGAAAATCAGGGCATGTCTTCATGGTCAGAACTATGTGGCTTTCTTGCATCTCGCTTGATTGGCTGAACCAGTCTTTTCCGTCGTATGAAGAACCTTGGCGCCAAACACTAGGAACCAAGCAACACTTATTCCCCAAGAGAAAGGAGCGAAGAAAGGCACAGAGGAAAGGAAAGGAACGGAATGGGACCTCTTGCCCAAGCGACCGAGGCACAGAGAGAGGGGAGAGAGAGAGGGAGGAAAAAGAAGTAAGAAAGAAGGGGAGAGAAGGAGAGAAGGAGAGAAGGAGAGAAGGAGAGAAGGAGAGAAGGAGAGAAGGAGAGAAGGAGAGAAGGAGAGAAGGAGAGAAGGAGAGAAGGAGAGAAGGAGAGAAGGAGAGAAGGAGAGAAGGAGAGAAGCAGAGAAGGAGAGCGGCAGGGAAGGAGGTAGTTCTCTCAATGACAGTTGAAGCCATTCCCCTGGACTTTGAGGATTGTGTGCTGTCTTGATATGTGCCCCAGTTTCAGACACAAGCGAGAGGGGTTGTCCTCGCTACTCTACTCTTGCTCTTCAGCTTTGGCTGGGGTAAACAATGGGTCAGCCTCTTGTGGGGTCTGCCCTTTCAAGATAAGGATTCAATTCAGCTTTGCAGCGTATTATTGTCCCAGCTGCAGGCGACGTCAAGAGCCAAGACTTTGCATGAGAGGAGACTTAGATCTTAGAACCACAAACACATTAATTGTCATAGTTTAAAGAAGTGGACCCCAAAGGACAAATCAAAAAAATCCAGTGACAACGCCATATTTGTTTAAAGGTTGTTGTGTCCCAAGCACAGAGCTTTCCACAGCGAAGGTGGGTGAGGGGTGGTGCTCATGGTGGGATCTAGCCATGTGCTCTCTCTAGACAAGATGCAGGAATTTCCAATCAACAAAGACATTCATATAAAACTTATGCGTTGTCTTAAAGGGGCTGTAGGAGGGTCCCTATGAACACTTCTATGATGTTTTTGTTGCGACATTGCATGTAGCCGCGGGCTACGCGTCTCAATCATGTCCTTGCCAATGACCAATCCATAGTTTTATCCTTGTAGTGGCTGAGCACAGCTTCAAAACATCCATCAAGCCGACCACCTCACCATCGTCGTCTTCACAGCTCGGACCCTGTTCGTTCCTCACCGCTTGTTCCCATCCAGCGAACCCACCTTGGCTTTGATTGCCGGCAGCCACCTTCGTGCGTTCGTCAGAGATCACACGTGCTGGCGCAATGGTAGCGTTCACGCCACGCTGTGTTCGTCAGAGATGTAAACGTGCTGGCAAGTTAGTTTCTTGGCCTCTGCACCGTCTTTTCTTCCTTATCCGAGAGAACGGCCTTGACGATCATCTTCAAAACCTTCGGCCCCCCCGCTGCCTTCTCTTCCGCATCCTCCTCTGGACCATCTTGCCCAGAAACCCGTTTCACCTTCGCCCAGCTTACCCTCTCGCACGCTGGGTTCTCTTTGTCTGCGTTTTTATGCTGCAGTACTTGCAAGTCTCCCCTCCTTGTCGAAGAACTTCTTCTGAGCCTCATCCGCGGGCCACGTGAACGACCCGATGATGAAGTACTTCCAGACGGCATCTCCAACATCCGGTCCACTCAGGTCCATGTGAGGCGATCTCAAAGGCTTCTTCTTGAAGTCATCTCAAGAGCCGCAGTCTGACTCGGGTGCCTCGGCTGCTCCAGAAAAAGCACGCCGCGCAGTAGATCATAATCATGCGCTTAAGGTTTTCAGGCCACTAAGACGCCATGACCCCTCTCACAAGGTGCAGTGCACCGCCCAACCCTGGGCAGGATGTTGGGAGGAGGCGGAGATTTCTGAAGAGTCGGCTGTGCCGGGTCGTGAACTTGCTGGAACCACCGCGGTTCGGATTGCTCACATGTCGACGGAGTCCTATCCTCCCTGTCTATCTTTGCAACCTTGGAGAGTTTCTCTTCGAGCAGTCCTTCTTCCAAAAAAGAGTGGCCCGTAGCGCCGCACACATAGCGCGCGTCACGCTGCGCTCCTCTTCATCCCTGAGCCGTCAAGAAGAGCTTGCAGGCCTTCTGGTCCTTGCCGTCCTCCTTGTTCCGCATAGGCCTCTTCGATCTTCTTGGCCTTGGCCTGCCCTTCTCGGTGTGCGCGCCAGCTGCTCCAGGAGATGCTCGCAGTACACCCCGCTCGTGCTGTAGGTCGGGGCCGCACCCACCTGGAGTTGCGAGGTTGATCTTGAAGTTCAGTTCCCTGTTGCCCTCCAGAACTTTCCTCTTGAGTCTGTACAGACTGTTGCTCTCCGTTTCGAGCGGATGCTTGCGCGGCCGTGCCGGGGCTCATCGTGGCGCGCCCAGGCAGAGGCATCGTATACGGCCTTGATCAGGAGGGCGCGCTTCGGATTCGCAGCCTCAAAAAGTCGCTTCAAAGGGCCTCCTGCGTGAAGGCATCGTAGCCACCGCTTGGCCTCCTGCAAGACCAGTTCCTACAACTTTTACTGACTATTCACACACGTACCCGCCAAGAACTAAGAGCGATGACATCTCTTCATGATGCGTGCTCATCCTTGTCAAATTGGCGCAACCTGGGACACGGAGGCAGAACAGACTGGAAGACGGGTGGCCCAAAAGCATTTTCCATGATGCGCAGTTTGAGTTGGAAGGCTGTGTGCAGTTCACTGTCTACTCTCCCTGTGCATGCGTTGCGCTGAAGTCTGTACTTGCCCTATTCATGCCTGTTTGCGTTTGAGTGTCGACTCTCTGTGCGTGCCACTATGCATGTCACTGTCTACTTTCCCTGCGCATGCCTCTGTGCATCTCATTGTGCAGTCTCCCTACACATGCCTCTTGCCCTGTTTTAATTTCTCTGCGCATGCATCTATGCGCTTCATTCTGTACTTTCCCCACACATGCCTCTTGCAACTCATTGTCTACTTTCCCTGCGCATGCATCTAAGCGATTGCCTTCTATATTTCACTGTCTACTTTCCCTGCGCATGCCTCTATGCATTTCACCACGCACTCTTCCTACGCATGCCTCTATGCATTCGCTTCACTCTGTACTTGCCCTACGCATGCCTCTATGCATTTTACCGTGCACTTTCTCATCGCGTGCCTCTATGCATTTCACTGTCTACGTTCGGACCTTGCAGCCGGAGCTGCGGGGACGTACTTCGCGTACTACTCTTGTACTTAAAAGTTGCGACTTTGCAGCCGGAGCTGCGGGACGTACTTCGCGTACTACTTTTGTAATTCAAAGTTGCAACTTTGCAGCCGGCGTGGCGGGGAAGTACTTCGCGTACTTTTGTTGTACTTAGAAGTTGCGACTTTGCAGCCTGATCCCTGCTGACGGTCGCGCGCAGACCGCGAAGATATGCGAAGATTCACACGGGGCCGCAGCGAGAGCGATCTGACACGCACAATCTCCACACAGGGTCGCGCGCTAATCGCGAAGATTTGCACGGGTGCATAGCGCGCACGATCCCCGCAGCCGGTCGGGCGTGTGCGGCAGGATTCGCAAAAAACCTACAGTTTTTGCACATCGACCACGCCGATCCCCGCAGAGGGTCGCGCGGGCACGATAAAAATCAAAAAAACCCACAGTTTTTGCACCTCGACTGCGCCGATCGCCGCAGAGGGCCGCGCGCGTCACGCAAGAATCGCACGAGAGCTGCAGTTTTGGCACATCGACCGCTGCGCACGGCAAGAGTCGCACAAAAAACTGCACATCGATCGCGCCGATCCCTGAGAGGCTGGTATTTTCGCAGAGCGCGCTTTTTCCCAGCGCGCCACATTAGAATACAAATTTTAAGGAAGCGTGCAAGTTTCCTCGTGCAAGTGATGCTCGTCCAAGAAGGAATGCAAGATCGCTACGTATTTCATTGTATACTTTCCGTATGCATGCCTCTATGCTTTTCACTGTCTACTTTCACTGTGCGTGCATCTATGCACTTGCCTCAGTACTTGCGCAACGCATGCCTCCATTTATTTTCACTGTCTACTTTCCCTGCGCATGCCTCTATGCATTTCACCACGCACTCTTCCTACGCATGCCTCTATGCATTCGCTTCACTCTGTACTTGCCCTACGCATGCCTCTATGCATTTTACCGTGCACTTTCTCATCGCGTGCCTCTATGCATTTCACTGTCTACGTTCGGACCTTGCAGCCGGAGCTGCGGGGACGTACTTCGCGTACTACTCTTGTACTTAAAAGTTGCGACTTTGCAGCCGGAGCTGCGGGACGTACTTCGCGTACTACTTTTGTAATTCAAAGTTGCAACTTTGCAGCCGGCGTGGCGGGGAAGTACTTCGCGTACTTTTGTTGTACTTAGAAGTTGCGACTTTGCAGCCTGATCCCTGCTGACGGTCGCGCGCAGACCGCGAAGATATGCGAAGATTCACACGGGGCCGCAGCGAGAGCGATCTGACACGCACAATCTCCACACAGGGTCGCGCGCTAATCGCGAAGATTTGCACGGGTGCATAGCGCGCACGATCCCCGCAGCCGGTCGGGCGTGTGCGGCAGGATTCGCAAAAAAACCTACAGTTTTTGCACATCGACCACGCCGATCCCCGCAGAGGGTCGCGCGGGCACGATAAAAATCAAAAAAACCCACAGTTTTTGCACCTCGACTGCGCCGATCGCCGCAGAGGGCCGCGCGCGTCACGCAAGAATCGCACGAGAGCTGCAGTTTTGGCACATCGACCGCTGCGCACGGCAAGAGTCGCACAAAAAACTGCACATCGATCGCGCCGATCCCTGAGAGGCTGGTATTTTCGCAGAGCGCGCTTTTTCCCAGCGCGCCACATTAGAATACAAATTTTAAGGAAGCGTGCAAGTTTCCTCGTGCAAGTGATGCTCGTCCAAGAAGGAATGCAAGATCGCTACGTATTTCATTGTATACTTTCCGTATGCATGCCTCTATGCTTTTCACTGTCTACT